TGTCTCTGTGTGTGTATACGGTGTGCGTGTATGTCTGTATACGGTGTGCGTGTATGTCTCTGTGTGTGTATACAGTGTGCGTGTGTGTCTGTGTGTATGCGGTGTGCGTGTGTGTGTATATGGTGTGCGTGTGTGTCTGTGCGTGTACGTCTGTGTGTGTATACATATGCGCACAAACGCGCACACACACATATACTCTCTGGCAGTTTGCTGTTTTCACCCCACAGTCTGCTGTGGTCAGTGCCCTGTGAGGCTTTCATCATGAAGGGACCTACCTCGTTCTTTGGACTCATCTTCACTGCCCCCCTTTTCCTGTCTCCTCACGAATCGCTCATCAAGTCCTGACAATTTTTACTTTCCCCAGTATAGTTTGAATATATCCCCTCTTCTTCATCCTGTTCCTTCCTGCCAGAGGGCCGAGCTCAAATCTGCCAAGTCAGATCTCTGAGCAGGGCGGGGCCTGGGAATCTGCATTTTCGCAAGCTCCCTGGGTGACCTTCATGATCATTAAAGCCTGAGGCTGCTCGCCAAGAGGTAGAACCCGGGTCCCTGGCCTGACACCTCATGCTCTAGCAGTGCCCAACACACCCTGCCCTTCCGTGGGTCCACGCATTTGCCTTTGCTGCCTCCTCCCCCAACCCCTCACCTTCGCTGGCCCTGGCTGCACTGAGCGCGTCTCTCCCGTGCCCCTGCCCCATCTCATAGGGAGCTCTGGGGATTCACTTAGCAGAGGGCATCACAGTGACTTGAGCTTTCAAGGACAGCCTACGCCTGGCACATAGTAGACGCTCAGTAGAAGTTTGAACAGAACCCACCAGTGGGTCTGGGCCTGGGCTCCTGGCTTAGTGCTCTGGATGGAGGGGTTGGGGTGCACTGACAAGAAGGGAGCAGTGGGGGGCGTCTGAGTCTGGGGGCTGATGAGCTCCTCCTCCAGCAGTAGGTGGCGCTGTCCCCCTGGGCCTCCCCACACCAGGCCATTGAGGGCAGGCAACACCTGTCTCTCCTGAAGCCCTTTGGCTCTGGGGGGGCCGGAGTGTGGCGTCCCCTGCTGTCTGAAGGGGCAGCCACCTGGCCTCTCCGGGGCCGCCTTCCAAGCTGCAAACCCAGGTGGGCTGCTGACACTGGGTCTCCTGACTCTTGCTTTGCCAGGATGTTGGTGGAGAGGTTCTCCGTGTCACAGCAGGTCATCCCGCAAGTCCACCCGGGGGAGACTGTGTTTCTGCCCAGGCGTCACCCTCGGCCGTGCGTCCTGGACTGTTCTCGCCTAAAGCCTCGTAGCCCCCTTGAAGGGCTGTTCCTCAGGTACGAGTGCACGTGGGCCCAGTGATAGGATGGCCCCATGCAAGGAAACCCAAAGCCGTGTTTTGGCCGATTTGAGGACATTTGTCAGCTTTCAGGGCTGTAGATAAAATAATCGTACATGTTTACTTATAATATTTAATTTGCCAATTTAGGTGCACATACTTTTAAAAATCCTACAGTTTATCAAATGTGAAATCATTTATTTATGAGAGGGCTTTCCACAGGGAGCTTGGGTCAGTGCTGTGCTGGGCTCGCAGGCCAAGAGGAGGAATAAGGGCCACCCTCGCCCGTGACGAGCCCGGAGGGAGGCGGCCTCGTTCTCTCAGCCAGTGTTTCTCAGAGCTTGCTTGTGTCTGCTTTATTCGTTCTGTTGTTGTTGTCGTTGGGTGCCACTGAGCTGCTTCGGACTCATAGTGACCCCATGTGACAGACTAGACCTGCCCCGTAGGGTGTTCTAGGCTGTAATCTTTACAGGAGCAGATCGCCAGGTCTTTCTCCCATGGGTCAGCTGGTGAGTCGACCTGGTAACCTTTTGGTTGGCAGCTGAGCATTTTACTGTTGTGCCACCAGAGCTCCTTTTATGAATTCTAAATCCATCTTCTTTTGTAATATAAAGATAACTCTCACCGTTTTGATGTGTTTCCTTTAAAACTTTTTATTATGGAAAAGTTCAAACATGAATTAAAGTACAGAGGATAGCATAATATATGGTCATGTGCCTGTCACCCAGCCTCAAAAGTGATGAACTCAAGGCTGATCTTATTTCATCTGTACCCCCGCCCACACACCTCCGGTGTTAATTTTAAGCAAATCTCATACTATATGATTTAATCTGTAATTATTTCAGTTTGTATCTCTAAAAGGTAAGACTCCATTTTCAGACATAATATCAACGCTGATAGTATAACAGTAATTCCTTAATATCGTTAGGATCAGCCAGTATTCAGATTTTCTCACTTGTCTTTCTGTGTTTTTTATCAGTGGTTTGAATTGGGATCTAAATAAGGTCCAGATATTGCAATTAGACAAACTATAACGTTAATGATGAAATAACATTGCATTGCTTTGATGCTTCAACATATGTAACCATAGTTTTCATTCTTTTTGATATACAGATTATTTCCAACTTTTTCCTATTATAAACAATGTGGTGGTGAATATTCTTACGCATAAATATTTGTCTGGAGGTTCAGAATATATTCCTAGATGTGAGATTACTGGGTTTGAGTATATGAACATTTTATTGACAAATTGATGTGTTGGTGAAGAATATCGAGTGTACCAGAAGAACGAACAAATCTGTCTTTGAAGAAGTAAAGCCAGAACACTCCTTAGAAGTGAGGATGGCAAGACTTCGTCTCACATACTTTGAACATGTTATCAGGAGGGACCAGTCCCTGGAGAAGGACATCGTGCTTGGTAAAGTAGAGGGTCAGCGAAAAAGAGGAAGACCCTCAACGAGCTGGATTGACACGGTGACTACAGCAATGATTGTGAGGATGGCGCAGGACTGGGCAGTGTTTCGTTCTGTTGTACGTTGGGTCACTTGTGAGTCGGAACCCACTTGATGGTACCTGACAACAACAGCGTTGCCAAACTGGAAAGCTGTCTGAAGGAGAATGGAAGGGGCGGGGGGTGGGGGATAAATGAAGGGAAAAGAAAGGAGACAGGAAGGGGAGGGACAAAGAATGAGCCGGAAAGGAGGCGAGAAGAGGAGAAAGGAAGGTGCCTTCCTGCGCTGGCTTGGCCTCACGGTTTGTGCTCACAGCACGTTTTCCATCACCGACTCGATAGAGGGGCAGGAACTGCTTGGCAGATGAGATGGCCTGTGGCACAGTGACCTGGGATCAGAGCGGCCCAGCCATATGGGGCCAGGTGGCAGCCCAGCTTCCATGGAGTGAGAAGTTCAGACGTCCTTCCGTGACTGTGGTAATGAGTACAGTGGGAGATGGCCGTGCCCTCACCTCAGAGCCGTTGCTTTGGGAACTATGTGCTGCCATCTGGAAGAACGCCCGCTATACTGCACTCGGTCAGGGGACTCCTGCCAGGCAGTGGGGAAGGGCCACTTCCACTCTCTGAGGGTTAGCATTTTATTTCCTGTTCGTGCTGAGGACAAGTCCAGACACAAGAGTGGGAAATGCTGGCTGCTCAATAATTATCCTGTTGTATTCAGCCTGAAACATGAAAATTGAGGAAGAATAAAGGGTTATTTGATCTCTTTTAAAAAATCAGTTGATTCCGTTTCTTGCCATACAAGAAGTGAACACTTTGTGAGATTGCAGGTCATGTTGAGTTTCCAGATCTTCTGCAGTGAACATGTGTCGTGTTTCTCACTGGAGGAAATAGTGAATGCTGTTTGTTTTTAATCACCTCTTGAAATAGATTCACTTACCTTTACCCTTCTGTGAAGAGGAAAAATATCTTTTTTCCCGCTGTGCAAAGTGGAAAGTCTTGGCACAGATTAAGTAAGCTACATTTGTCCTAGGCCACAGAGCAGCGAGGAGAGGCCGGCTTGGTTCAGAGGGGCCTCCAGGCAGGTCCTGCTGGAACGGCCCTCTGTAGGTTTACACGCAAGGATGCCTCTGCCCGGGGCCACAGGTGTGAGAGAGGACCAGCCTCAGGGCCCTCTCGTATTCATCGTGGACTGCACGTGTGACCTCATAGCAGTTCCCTGGGTCCAGCGTCACATGCCTCTGTGACCGCTGTTAGTGCCAGCAACTCCGGGGGCTGAACTGCCTCCTGCCTCGACAGCAGCCTGAGAGGAAACCCAATCCTCGCAAGCAGAACAGGGTCGGGAGCGACGCCCACAAACTGCTGCTTCCACAGGAAGCGAGGTATTGCCTGCTGAATTATTCATGGGCCTCCCTAGGCCCCCCACTGTATGTGCAGTGTGCACAGTGTGTGGGCGTGTCAGAACGCGCAGGCCCCGGGTGGGCGCATCTGCCACTATTAGGGTGCAGGGCTGGGCGTGCCCGCGGAGCGCAAGTCCCACCCACAGTGCAGGTGCGCCCATGTGAAGACTCAGCCAGCAGGAGGCTGGAGGCTGTGGGTGTGCCC